CGCCTGCCGGTCCTGGACTGTTCCGTTTGTTGAGGACCGTTCGCGGTGACGATCGATTACACGTGTCTCTTCATATGGAGGGCTAGGTGATCGCTGCGAGAGAAACATCGGTCGCAGTGCCGACACTTGAACGGCTTCGCGCCAGTGTGCTTGCGGTAGTGGCGTGTTAACTCATCGGAACGCGCGAATCGCCACTCGCAACCCTCCCAACTGCACTTGTACGGCTTCTCTCCTGGAATTAAACCAAATTCATGTGTTAGTAATTTATCTGCGTTTGAAAGATTTCTATTTTTTTTTCTTTTTTTTTTTTATTTTTAATATGTGAATTTCCGATAATAAAGAGATATAAACGCTCTGTGATTTGGATGACATGTGAAAACTAATCAATTATTTTTGAGAAAATTAATTATTAGAATTATCATATGACATTTAGAATGTCAATTAAGAATGAAATTAGATTTATATCTTATATAATTATTTGTTAATGATTATTATTAAAATTGTATATTTCTAATTATCTGTCTTACTTGATTTAAATTTTTCTAAATGATTCAAAATCAATTAGATTATTTTAACAAGACAAATAGAAATACTATTTTGAGATATATAAAATTTAAATATTAATTATTTTTTACTAAAGAAAATTATATAAAATTTTTAAATAAATATAATATATAATTAAATAGCAAAACAAAATTTTATTATAACTATCTATAACTAACATATATTTAAAGTTATATACATAAATTCAAGTGATATAATAAAAATAAATCTCTTTATTTAGTTAAAAGAACTTTTATTAATTTAAAAAATAAATAATTTTAATTCCATCATTTTCAGTATTAATAATTTTTTAACAATGTTTATTTTGTCCACATGTGTATTCTTTCAAAATTACTAAAACCGCAAATAAAATATATATATAATATATAAAATAAAATTCCGTATGCAATATGGAATTTTTTAATATATATAAAACGCTTTCGAGTGGTGAATCGGGAATAAAATAGCGAACGACCAAAAGAGGCGTGGATCTTCTGACAGCACGTGTACCGCGACAAGGGATGATTATGAAACGGCTGGCACATTATTAGCACATAAATAGTCTATTCGATAATATAAAAAGAAAATGACGTCGATGAGACCACGTTATGAGACAGGAAATGCAACCGCGCCACCTGTGGCGTTTTCCTAAAGCGTTTAACAATCTCTTAAAGATTATGCGTTATAAATTATTTTCAAAAAAAACAATATATAAAATTAATGAAAATTATTGAATAATGGTTGAAAGATTGGTTCCATGAAATATGAAATCCAATAGCAATAAGTGAGCAATAAATTTTTAAAGAAAAAAATTATTTTAAACAATGTATGAAAATTATAGTAAAATTTTATAAATATATAAAAATTAAAATAAATATATAAAATTATGAAAATTATTAAATAAAACTGTATTTGTGAAATTTTTTTATTTTTTATTTTAAGTACTTATTTAAAATATACAATATAGGTATGTAAAGAAAATAATATATAATTAATAAAATAGAAATTCAAAAAGATTCAAATATAAGTTAAATTTTATTCGTCATTAATATATTTTGTTTATATACTTATATTTTGTTTACATGACAATGATTTATATAGAAAATTTGACAATGTCAAATCATTATCGATATTTTTCGGTATGAAACAAATATCACGAAATTTTTTAGTCTTTTTTTGTTAGTCAATTACATAACTAAAATAATATATGTGCTAATCGCGATTTTTTTATTTCTCATATAATATTTAATATATTTTCCATCATTTTATGAAGTAATAATTCTAATGCAAATATATTATTCTCATAAAATTTTAAAACTAAAAATTTTAGAAAAATTAGAACTAAGTGCCATTTAAAATATTGTTAAATCAAAATATATCATGTTATTTTTGTTGAAAATATGATTATTTTTGTTTTTTAAATCATGTTATTTCATGTGAAATCGCGTAAAAAATTGTCAACTAAAAAGAGAATGTATATACAGAAGAAAACAAAGAACATATGATATGCAACTATTTTATCCTTTCATGAAAGAATATGAAATTCGTCTGTCTCGAATTCACTGTACGATTTTCGGTAAATAAAATATTGTCTAAAATGGGGAAAGTGGAGCGGAAAGACTTTGAAAAAGTCCCAAAGACTTTAAAGCCTGCTATTAAAGCTTGAAAAACTTTGGGACTTGGTGGATTTAGCGCTACCACTTTGAAAGGCAACTAGGAAAGATTGAACCAACTAGGGCTTCGATGATAGTCATTAAAGTTTCAAGAACGCTTCATCGCGGATTTTCATAGAAGTAGCAAAATTAAAAATGAGTTTTTTACTTCGATTCATATTTCTCGTGTCGATTTGCGTCATTTCTCGAATCAGGAGGGTGAAGTATATACTGTTCTTTCATAAAAACATGGAATGAAGGGGAGCGTAATGGCGACCGCATGAATAAAGCGATATAAACGCGCATATAAAACCGCAGAGTGAAACATTTGACATCTATATCACTCGACTCTAAACTTAATGAATTAAAAAAAAGAGAGATGGAGGGCAGGACGAGTGAAAGAGAACAAGAGGGTGGAAACCTTTAGCAAAACCGACGTTTGTATGATGTAACGTTTTTATTGTCGCATGCTTGTTTGGCGCGGACTGAGAACGCTTCGCATGTAATTTAGAACGCGGTAATGCCGTGGTCGTGCTATGAACGCATGATCTTAAAAAAATTCATGCCACGAGGATTATTGTTCTTTTTGTCCTATCGCTGACAATTGTCGAAACGAATTTTACGAATGATAAAATTCAACTTTTAATTATTTTCTTTTTTTATAATAATCGTCTTCTTGGAATAATTTTTTAAAAGAATATATTTGATATATTACAAGAAATAGAATAGAACATATAATACAAATACTTTAATTATATTTATTATTCAAACGAGCAACTTTTTTTATTATATCTAGATGACACGATTTCAAAGATTTTTTTCAAAATAGTTTTTTATTTGATTTTTTCTTATTTTAAAATCATCTCTAACTTTGTTGTATATAGAATATCTCAAATATACTACAAATATAATAATTTTTATCTTTCACAATTCAGTTATTAAACATTAAGATAAATTTAGCAATAATAAAAATAACTAATAAATAATTAAATAGTGTTATATAATTTATATATAAGTACATTAAATTATACTTTTATTTTATTCATTTATTTGTCTCATTAATTAATAAAGAAAATATGAAAATTTGCAGTACATTTTATTACAGCATTTACAATTTTTTTCATGTTCAGTCTTATATTTATTATCTTTTTTTTTCATTATATAAAAAGGTGAATACATACGAAATAGATTGTAGTATTTCTCTAATCTTCTTTACGAATCCCTCACTCCAATACTAGAACTTCCTCCCCTTCGATGTTCCCCGCAAACCTTGCAGTCACTTTACAAACCTAAGAACCTATTTTACAACGTACCCTATTCCATTCAATTCCAGGAACACGTTTCGACCGAGCAGCTTTAAACGCACGCAATGGCCGTCTATATCGAACTCACACATACCAAGAATATCCATGAAACCATTCGTTACGATTTTCTTAATATTTCATCCCTTTGCGAAGAATCAATTCTCGCTAACGAATTCGTGAAGAGAAACTTGCCGTGTATCAGAAAATATCTTAAAATTACGACTGATATTTACTTAATATATATATATATATAACAAGTTTATGTATATACAAGTATATAACAAGAATGTTCTTTTTTTCCTATATCGAAAACAATATAGCAATCGATTAGAAATTACGATTTTTATAATTTCAAATTTATTTTTTGATTAGAAGAATAATTTATAATTTATAATTATTTAAAATTTACAATGAATTAATAATATATTAAAAGTATTAATAATATAAATCAAAATTTTAATAAAAATTTCGGTAAATTTTATATATAGATTACAAATGTAAATTCATGATGGAATATAATATTTCTTTCTATGATTAGAAAATATCGAATAGAGAATAAAAGATTGAATAATTTGCAAAAAATCTATTTGTCTAATAATTCTTCCTTCTCGATGCATAAGTAACATACAATTATATTTCAAAGTAAATGGAACAACAGAATAAAATTATCGAAAAATTTTATTTTGTATTAAAAATGTACAGGATGTTAAAAAAACAACTTCAATATATAGAAAAATATTAATGATATTCAAAAATATTTCAAATAAAAACGAAATTTTAAAAAATGAAAGAAAAATATCAAATTATATATTTTTTAAAACCATTCAATTTTTATCTGAAATATTTTTCAATGTGCATTTTCAAATATTGATTTAAATGAAACTTTCTGTATAACATTTCATATATTAATAAAACATAAGAATATAATAACATAAGAATTATCATATCCACTTATTATAAAAAAATTTAAAACAATATCATAATTTAAATTTATACAATTTTTAAATTTTTATAAAACAATCAAAAATTCCAATTATAATCTCATAAACTTTTTATCGTTATAATTCTCTATTCACAGTAAACTCAACTTTATCTTTTATAATAATAATCCTCTATGTTTATCTATTCTCATTATCAAGACATTAAACCCTCTCGATTAATAATGTATCCTTTATATCACCTTCGTTCCTTGAAAATAACACGATTACATCTATTCCTGTTCTGAAATCTCAGAGAAATCGCAGAATTACCAAAAAAATCAATAAGACTATACATTTGCAATTAAATGAATGAAATATACACACAC